TGTGGTCACGAGCAGCGTTACCAGCGAGCTCAAGAATTTCAGCGCAGAGATACTCGAGGACAGCAGCCGTGTAAACCGGAGCGCCACCGCCAACGCGCTGAGCATAACGACCTTTTTTTAAATAACGAGCGACACGACCAACAGGAAACTGCAAACCAGCCTTCGCTGAGCGCGTTGAGCTTTTGCCGGTCTTCTTGCCGCGGCCTCCTGTAGCTGCTTTTCCTTTTCCAGACATTATAGTGGCGTAGACGTAGAGTAAATTGAGTCTGCGTGTGGTAAATTTACTATGAACATGATCTACCTCTATGGCACAGGATAACAGCAACCCTAGCAAAGCGAGCTCAGAGATTAATTGTTTTACGTATTGACATTTGTCAAAACTAATTAAAAGTAACTGATTGCTGGATTTCAAACTAAACCGTCACGGATTGGCGGAATTCTTAAAGCAAAAGAGCAAGAGTCTGATGATAGCTCAGAAACAATCATTATTAAATTTGCCTCATAGCCGATCACTTGTCTTGATCAGTCATTTAAAATCACCATGTCTGGAAAAGGAAAAGCAGCTACTGGAGGTCGCGGCAAGAAGACCGGCAAAAGCTCAACGCGCTCAGCGAAGGCTGGTTTGCAGTTTCCTGTTGGTCGTGTCGCTCGTTACTTACGTAAGGGTCGCTACGCTCAACGTACCGGGAGCGGTGCTCCCGTCTACATGGCTGCTGTTCTCGAGTATCTCTGCGCTGAAATTCTTGAGCTCGCTGGTAACGCTGCTCGTGACCACAAAAAGACTCGAATTATCCCGCGCCATATCCAGATGGCTGTCCGCAATGATGAAGAGCTTAACAAGTTGCTTGGAGACGTCACTATTGCTTCCGGCGGTGTCATGCCCAACATTCACTCTGTCCTATTACCTAAGAAGTCAGCTACGGCTGGTAAGAAGGGAAAGTCCTCAGCTTCACAAGATTATTAAGCCACCTTTGCTTTGCTGTATTCTCTATTCGCCTAAAGGGCGATTCGAGTTGCTGTCGTGCATAGTAGCTTCGTGAGAACCTACTATATCTATCTGATGTTTTTCAACATCACCCTGTATGAAGAATCTAATATGGCGATCAAATTTGTGCGTCTGACTATTTTTCCTTACGCGATTTTTATCATAAATTAGGATTAACAAATCTGCAACGTTCGCTTACAGATACGGTATTATGCAGATGAGCTAGTCAATAAAATTTGAACTCCAAAGTTAATAACAATCTTAAATCATTTCGAAATCTGAATTGGTGCGTTGATCGTAACAACGTTCTACATCCTATGCACGATTATGCTATTCTTCATCTGCACTCAATTTGTTGCTGCTTCCAGATGCCACCCTTTCATTGAGCACTACGTTTCGCAGTGTATTGCTATATTGAAACATAAAGATGAATTGTTTGTCACGCTCACCATTGGCAATGGAAATTTTTCGTTCCAAATCTGCGATATGAGCGCCTAATTGAGCCACGTTTTGCATTTGAGAGGGGTTGCCACAAGAAACAGCTTTGTCGATTTCTTCGCGAAGCTTCTGAGCTTGTCTTTCGAGCTCGCGAATATTAGTTGCTAGCTCTGCACACTTCTTATGCGATGAATGCATTACCGCGGGAACATCATTCCAGCGATCAGCATGTTCATTCTGCTGCGCAAAGGAGCGCACCGCCTCCGAAGTGGTTAGCACACGAGCCACCGACTCCAGCCTCTTCGAGAACGCAGCGTCCCGTCGCACACGAAGTCTATCGATTTGCAATTTCAAACTCTCCGGAAACGCAAGGTTGTTTGACCTGTGCACAAATTCGTGTACTTCCTTCGTCCGCTGCATGATCTCATTGTCTAATTGCATAACTAAAGCATTGAAATTGTCGTAATCACCAACCCAAATTGCTCGTAATTCGTCATTTTCACAAACTTTGTTACAGTTGAAGTTCTCTTCGCCTGTCTTGGCTATCCTATGTTGTAGAACTATTTGATTAGAGAAACCTGGTGGCTGATAATGCTGCTGAGCATTCAGATTCCTGACGACAATGTGGTAATTATCATTATCGTGATCCTGTACACCGGTCTCGAAACTCGATAATTGTGCAGAAGCAGGCTTGCATGTCGCATAAGTATGGGGCCCAGTGTTTGTAATTGAAAAAACATCATCTGTGCCCTGAAACGAGAGATCGCGAGCTGTAGAAGATGACAACAGCTGAAAGCCTGTAGCATGAGAGAGTACATCGACTGAATAGGGACGTCGCGGTAAGGTAGAGTGTGGATCCTGCAGCACGGGGATAAAAGTGTTTGAGTTTAAAATAAATGCAGCTGCGAAATTTAGTTGAGCAGGCAGAATTTGCTGTGTTTTACTCACGTATGACCTCCCGTCAAGCCCAAGTGATTGTGCAGCTACCTGTCGACGTGAAACCAGCTCTTGCATGTATTCATGTTCATGATTCAAACGTTGATGCCGTTGTTGATCCTGATCAGCATCTCGCCAATGTTGTTGTTCCCGCCACAGTGATATGTCTTGACGACGACATCCGTACTGCCTTTCATTCTTCTGCTGCAATGTTTTTATTTTCTGTCGCGGATAATCCTCTTGGCCTCGATCTTCGATGGGATGGGGTCGCTCTTCAATTTGCTGCTGCTGCTCCACTTTATCCTTCTCACGTTTTCTCTCCTGTTCCTCATGTGTTATCACTCGCGTCACCTCCTCAGGTGTATGTGATTCCCACTGTTGTGAGCTATCTCTATTTCGCATTGATTGAACTAACAATTTGTCTTGCACATTAGATTGCTTCAAAGGCTTTGGCAATCGTGCGTGCGGTGTATTAGCTTGCGCTGCTCGCAAATCGTGCATTGCCTTAACGCGTTCGTACAAAATCATACTATCCATTATTGATGCCGGGCACTTTCCGTCCGATTTTAGAGATGGATCAGTACGAGCCAACTTCAACTCTGATTCGTCCTCGATATTAGGAGACTCCCGTTTGCGAGTATGCTCTGACATCCCAGCCTTAGGTGCACCTGTAGCGAACACAGTAGAAACTGTTTCGGAAGCTTTGCTTTCATTTCTAGGTGTTGCTGAAGTGGCGGTAGTAGACGATACTACTGCTGCAAGCACTGTTGGACATACACCGCCTCTAGCATCTGCCGCTATATGCTGTACAGTCGATCTAGCATCATTTACCTGCACTTCACCATAAAGACGCAATCGATACGTCGCCCGCACCATCGTTAGAAATTCATTCGACCATGCAGCTTCAACTAAATGCTTTCCACTAGCGCTGTCAATGGCAAAGCAGTGATGGGGTATGTAGCTTCCAAGCATTAGCACATGCGGCTTTTTGTAGCAGTGGATACAAAAAAAGGCGTCGCACTCTGCACACCACATGACAGGGTCATTCTGGCTACAGCGCCTGCATTTGCCTAGTTCAATCAGCAAAAAAAACACATCAAAAGACGTTCCATGAAGTGAGATTCCTACTTACGCAGAGCATCGCGGTTGTAATTGCACATGATACATGCGTTGATGCCAGAATGTAGCCTTGTCTGGCACTGGGGGCATCGAGTTGAGTTGATGCCATACACTGAAAGCGTCATATCACGTGTTTTAGTTAAGCTCGCAAACAAGCCCTTTCAACGCACTGTAAAGCTGTCGTTCGCTTTTGCAGCTACATTGCACAACCGCGTTCGTCAGTATGCTGCTCCATCCGTTATTGCCATCCATCCAAACTTCGCGCCAAAACCAGTGCCTAGTTTTTTCACCTAAAACGGAAGTGTGACGGTCGGTGGTTATCAGATTTTCTTATTATCTTTTGGTAAAACACGAGCTAAAAATTAGCTTTTCTGACTTAAAATACTGCACTAGCGATATTGATCTATTATATCACGTACTTTAATATAATGCATGTTCAGTGCTCGTCTCATTCTGCTACTGCTAGCCGCCGTGCTGTGTTGTGCGGAAAATTAAAACATATAGTTAGCGTCACTATTGCACGTTGATACAGAAACTGAATTTGACGTGTAATGCAAACGCAAAATGCTCCCTGTTAAATTTTAAATCGTGCAAACAATGATATGTCAGTTTGATGCTTCGCCACTTGTTCCTGCTCTTGCTGATGTTGTCTGTAGTTCTTAGAAGTCTATGAGCTCACCAGAATATTGGCAGGACACGCTGGTGTATCGGGCAATACGCAAATCGTGCAATTTGACGTTCTTAGATGAAGTATAACATACACGAGTCCACGTTAATAAATGCACAGATAATTGGTTCAGAAGCGAAACCGAGCAGTATCTTGTAAAGCGGCGGGGATACCCCGACTCCGAGAACTCGTGAGAGTTTGAGGTGCCACTATGGCAAGACTGCCCAGACGTCGTTGACGCTTGTGGTCCGAGGAATCATTACGTTCCGCGTCGTCGTACACCCCTCGCTTCCCGGTAATAGCCAGGGAAGTCGAAGAGCCATGAGCTGAACTCAAGTTATGGCCTTGAGCTGCTGCGATAGCAGACTTACCAGTGTGACAGGCTACAGAGCTCGTGGGAGCGTGATGGATCAATTTATATGTCGCAGGGCGACAATACATAGGAAGTCGGCGACGCGCCTTGAGTTTGCAAACTTAAACCGAAGATGGGGTTCCCACGCGCGCGTACACCTCCTTGTGACTCCGCTGAAAGGTAGAGAGAGATGAAAGTTTTCGGTGCCGCTGCATCCATCGATCAAAGAGCTTTTTGTCATTTGCAGCGTATTCGCCAGGGGCGAGCACCACAAAAATCGTCCGCATTGCGGGTACAGGAGTGCTCCCTCTTTGAGCACGAAGTCGAGTGCAGGAGTATTCACCGGAACTTTTTGAGGAACCAAAAAGTGAGCTCCGAGAGCTATTCGCTCGTCAAGCTCAGCTTGTGTAGTGACCGGGGGCCCGGTCACGTAGACGCCCAGCATCCGAATGATCGCGTCCTTCGCTTATTTAGCGGGATCCGCTGAGCGGAAGCCGTATTCCTCACGAGGGTCAAGGACCGACTATGGATGCGCGCAGACAGCATCTAGCCCTCGTTGAGGTCATTGATAATGACACCACTCCTACCGGAAGTCGAGAGTTTGGGAAAAGGACACGGCGCCCGCAAGGTTCGAGCAGGGCTTACATCGTGCCGCTGGGGCACCTCGCCCTCTTCTTCTTTCCATCCTGGGAAAGGAGTATTCGAATTGTAGTCGTCTTCCTCTAAATCCTCAACGCTACAATCCATCGCCAGCTGTTGACAATGTGATAAACGTTTGAGTGCGTTAACCTGATTCCCTTTCGATACACGAGGTTGAATACAAAACGCAAGGACGAACCCACGTCTCAACAACCAAGCTTTCAAACGGCTTGTTGATGCGCGACGACACTGTGTTAGGTTAGACGACCAATTATCCTCTGTGTGCAAAGTGCAAGGCAATCACGTTGTACCTGATAGCATTTGTCGTGCATTTTACCGACCGAGCGTATCCTCTGTGATGATGTAGCACGATCACCGCCAGATACGCTAAAAGGCTGTGTATGCTGTTAATTTTGAAGGTTGCTGTCCAGCGACCTGTTATGGCAATCGCTTGTCAGTTCACCAGCTATGAGATCGCACTAATGACCCCCCCCCACAACACATCAATCAATAGCCACAGAAACGATAAGCTTTTTAACGCTCAGCGCTTTAAATTTTGAAAAGGAAAAAAAAATTTGGACGAGAGACGTTAAGATAGCCATACACCCGGTCATGCTCAGGACGGGTACACAGGGCGTCAATCTAGTGGGTTTTGAACTATGAAGCCGTGTACGAGAATGAGCATTTACATGTAGAAGCTGTGTTCATGACACGAAAAGTGTTGAAGCAACAGATGTCTCGAGTCTACGCACTGCTTAACTTGGCGTACCTTGTGCGCTAAAATTATTCTCACCTTGCAAAGGAGGCAATAATTTGTGGGCTTTGTCCGACAATTGAGTGGTCATATTGCCCAAAAACGGCAGATCCTTTTTGGAGGCGGTGTACATTAACCATCTCCATGAGAGGCCTTCCAATGGTGCGGCTCACACCGAGACGTTCGTGTCCACCTAACCTCATGGATGCGGTGAGCGTCGCATCAAAGAGTTAGCCTTTTCTGCTCTTCTCTTTCGCACCGTTGGGCTTAGCCAAATTACGAAAGGTGGGAACTATACAAGCGCCAGAGGGAATAGACCTCACCTATGCTATGGAGAAATGGAAAGATATTTGAGTTAAGTCTGTGACAGTGATAGTCATCTTCATATTCATATTCTTCCCTACTCTCGAAGGAAAGGTATGAAGGGTCGGGCTCCCAATCTGTAGTTTGTGCTGGCAACCGCAATAGAAGCCAGCCCAGAGAGCGACGAGCTGAAAGCCCAAAGCTCTAGGCTGTCAACACCAACATCTTGGGCTTTATGAGAATGTTCGAGTACAATTCAAGGCGTCGTACAATTGCGCACAACGAACACTGTCGAATACGGTAGATAACTCGTGGAGGATTCAATTGTTCAAGTATAGATACAGATTCGAGCATTTTGCGAATGGCGTCGGAGGTTTTACAAAGCCTTCCCGTGAATTTTGAGCTTCTTACTGCGTAGAACGGTGGCTCATCCGTCTCGCCTGAACCTGGATCTGAGAAATGGTCTCATCTCCAATATAGCGTGGCTGGAACGACATTAGCCATGGATTGACTTAAGGTCGATAGCAAAAGATGCCGAGCACATCGCTCGTACTAGAGCTTTGGTACGCCTTGATATCATCACGTGCTCTTACCTCATGCACGAATCAACATAAGCTTAGCTTTGGTGCAACACATGGGATTGTCGGAATCGATGAGCAACAATGTGTTGATTGCCGAATGCAAAATTTGGAAGACAGAAGCGTCATTGAGCCGCGGTGTCACGATGAGGCACAAAAAGATGCGACCCTCAGAGTGTATCTCTGATGAGACATAAATGATCGACGACTTCAGAGCGTAATTACTGTATGTCGAGGTCTTCGGAACAAGACCCTGCATATTAAAGAGCGACAGTGTGACGCAGTCACCTGTGCTAAGGTCGGTCAGAACGATCGTCTGTAAGTTTGAATCAACAGGACCAGATCCTGGCTCTTTAAAGTTGACTCATCGTTAGCAAAATATAACGGTTTTGCTGAGTTGACAGTACCGAGTGACTCACCGACAGTAAGGAAATGTGAAGCTCCACAGGTTTGTTCAAAAAAGGTTATCAGTCGTGCTTCGAGTGACTGGAGCAGCCTTTAGGGTAGTAAGCCTCCCTTCACTAACTCAAATTGGCGCTCTCATTGAAATAAAAAATTACCCGTACGCGATTTGCAAGACGGCGACGCTGCCAAAATGGCGCGGCTGTCATGAGGGATTGTCTCAGCTCATCATCAGTCAGGTTGAGCAGTTGAGTCTAGTCCAACGACATGAATGCGGGAGTTGAACATAAGCACGACCAGCTGATCGTTGTTAAGTGCGTTAACCAGGTTGATGTATATTTTATTCAATGCGGGAAGTACTTACGGGTGGAATGCTCTCAGAGTAGCTAATGATGCTATAGTGACTGCATCATTACTCGACGACCTTAGATCGCCTGTTGTTACAGCTGTTCAGGCAGTTTCGTAGTCTATTTCTACGAAAAATTTAGGGCATGGAAAGCTAGATGTAGAGCTTCCTCACATGCGGTACTCGAGTGTATGCGCTTTATAAACATAGACAAGCGCGTCGTTGGCGCCGACGAGAAACCCCTCGTCAAGTTGATTAGATGAGAAGCATGCCTGCGGGCGACCAGTGCTGATTAGCAACTCCTGAATAACTATTTGCACAAGAAAAGGGCCAAGTATGCCGACATGGTACGACCTCTTCCCGATCTCCCTACATAAGATGTAACGGTGTTGGAGTGTATGGCCCTCTGATGATAAAATTCTTATGCGTGTTCAAATTCTGGTTGCTTCTTCATCCAGATTAGCCATTTCGTGTCATCTCTAACGCTTTGACCTTGCAACAGGTTGCACGGTACTTCAAATATGTGCTAATGGGCATGACGTCATGATTGCCTTTGAATCACGCCAGCTTAAAGCGGCAGTCCTAAATACCTTAACTACGAGGAGCTTCATACAATGAAGTGTGTCTGTGTCAAGTATGAAGATCACGTATCATTGAGTATAGCGATGCCGTAGCCAAATCCCTCACAGAGAAAGACAAGACAATTTGTCTTCTTCGCCAAATTTTTCATTTAACTCAACGTATAAGTTAAGTCGGTTTGATGTTATGGCGAATGCTCTTTGAATTGCCCTAATTGTTCTTTATGGTATGTCGCAATGGTGACGTCGCGTATTGATGAGACGATACGTACTTCGTACGAATAAGATGCAATATGTGTTGCGCTACCGAAACGTTGTAAAGCTACAGATCTGAAAACTCAAGTGCCACTTTAATTAAGCGCGAGGATGCACGCTTACACCGCTGCGCCTTATACCATTTTTTTGCTGTACTTACCGCGTAACACTTTGTGTGCCTCATGATAACGACCTCAAGTACAGATTACTGCACGAACCTTATGATTCGACTTCAGGCGGTCACCCTTGCCAAAAAAAGACAACTCGCCATGGTCAGCACTGACTGTTGGTGGCCTAACATGTACAAAGGGGATTAAGCACAAATGTTTGCATGTGAAATACATTTCGGCATGCGAAACTATCGCTACATGCGGTGGCACGTTTGGTTAGCCTACCTGCTATGATAAAGCACCAAAAGTCATTCAGGATGAATGACATCATCGGTCCCCCAAAAATTACTTTTGCAATATTATCGGCATGGGGATTCTTATGGACCGCCAAATGGCTAGTTTCGCTGCTGTTAGCCATTATGTGACAAGCTGACAACAGCTGAGAATTTCCTTAAAACAGTGATATGCCAGAAACGACTTGCCGGCAGCCACTGTAATAAGTAGAAAATTTACAGGGATGTTTGACTTAGCAATATATGTACTCGGAGCCATAGTGAATGCGTCAACTGCCGACCATACGCATGTAGACGGTCAGACGGCACGCATGAATGACTTGTGGAGAATATCTTCGGAGTACTTGCGCAGAGTGATCGCAATGTTGAAACGAGTTGTTTCTCGTAATTGACTTGCGTTACTTAACGCATTATTTGCACCTTCAGGGATTTCCCCATTTTACATAAATGGTCTGGTGTCCCCCGAGCCTTCGACACCACGTAGTGGGTCCGACATTAGTGGGGGGGGGGTAAGAGGCTATCCAAGACAGCCCCGAACACGATCTGCACGCTTGCACTTCAGAGGTAGACTTGATAGGTATGAGGTGAAATTGCGACCGAACTGAATAGAAATTTTGGCGTATAAAGCTACATAAATAAAATCACTAGAGCTCCTAGAAGTTATACTATAAACCTAAAAATGCAAAAGTAAACCTATAGACCTGACATATAAATTATGGGTGTACTGAAGTTTAATCCAAGGGAACCTCGAGAAAATCAGGTTTAGAGTCTACGTGTACCGATTAGTACATGAATGTCAGACTCTGGACTCGATCAGCGCATGAGTGCCACCAATCTGTGTTTGATTAGTGTAACGGACACGTATGACATCACTGGATGATGTCACACGTGCATGTGGGATCTGCCGTATTCTAATTCTTTTGTTATTCGTCTGTCTTCGTATAATGGCTAGGTATGGGCCCATTACAGAAGAGGCTGTCAATCAAAATCAGTTTGCTGATATCAGCAAAGGTACTCTTCGAAGCAAATCAGAAATACCGTTGCAAGAGATGGAGTGCCATGCACAAAGTGCGCGATGCTATGGCTGAGAGCCAAGAAAAAGCAACGCTCTCATGCCAGAGGCATGCCGAAGGAGGCGTACAAAAAAATCAAATTTGCTGCGGGTAATATGGTCTCACTGAATGCGATTAATATATACACATACAGTGTCTGCTATCTGCATGACGAAGCTGCGACCGCACTACATTAGACCGCTGAAAGTTAGAGTGAAAAAGGAAAAGTAATAATCCTCACATCCCGAAGAGAATGCGATGAGGTCATAGGTGATATTTGGGATTACTAAGGCCATATTACGATTTTTGGAAGAGAGTCAAATCGCTGCTGCAATCATGAGAGCTCATGAGAGCCAAATATGTGAAGGTCGACCGGCTTCGACACCACTCAATGAGCGAGGGGTGACCACCATCGCACTGTGCGTTTCGTTCAGCTGGTCTTCACCAGTGCTTGATAAAGAGGAAGAATTAACCTCATCCAGAGAGCATGTGGGAGTTTGCAATTTCAATTTAATAAGATTGCCCTAGTGCCTTGGCCGCTTACGCCCTGGCGCACCCTCGATTTTCTTTTCCCTAGAAAAGTGGTAGAGTAATTCGTCGTAATGCGCTCCCACACCCGATTGAATTGTTAGTAATATTTTTGGTCATTAGTAGTAATCTCATGGAGACAGGCAGAACTGTGTACAGAAAGAAGTTGAGGTGATGGGTTGCCACCTTGACGTCCGGGTAATTTGCAAAGCAAAGCATGAAACAACGCTTCAGGTGGCCGTTCGCTTTGATATATATACAAAATATAATCCTGATCGCGGGTGAGACGGCGTGTTTCTCTCACCCGATGCACGAACAAAGTTTGACACTCATCGGTACTTTCGCCAGCTTCTAGTGACCAGGGTACATTCCTCATGAATGATGAAGCGCTTGCAGTAAACGGACTACCGCAGGCTTAAGTTCGCAAGGGATTCACACCAGCGCAGTAATAGACTTGAGAAGTTAATAGCAAATCACGGTGTGATGATTTGGGCAAGTGTCAGCGTGACAATTGCACTTGAAGTAGAGTAAGCTGGGCCCCTTGAGACAGGTTCACTTTATTGATAACGGGCTGAATATCGACAAGGGTTCCACGGCGGATTTCGAGATTTTTTTGCGGATTAAGGTTGAGCTCAATGATCTGCTTCTTGGGGAACGGCTAGGCTCTGTTTCATTGGGTGAAGGCGTTTTTTGGTTAAGAACCCCTTGGCATCTTCAAAAGAATTTATAGCGTGTCCATTGCGAAGGCCACACCTTTTGTGGAGGCTTGTTAGAGCCCTGTGCGAGGAGCAGAAGCGGTATTGTGTAGAGGGTGAGTGAAACCTTAGGCATAGGATTAGCTAGTGGAGCAGTCACTTCAGCGCGGTGGCTTAAAGAGATGCAATCCGTGTGGCTCACTTATTGAAGGGGTGTGTAAGGGTGAATGTACTGTAATCTTGTGTACTGATTCCTCACACATTTCTCAATTGCATCAAATACAATACTGTACATTCGTACATCTTCACATTGCACTTTGGGTAAATGTTAATATTCATATGTATCAAAGTAGCCAAAGTTATGAAGATGAATGAGCTCTAAAATTGAGTATTCATGGTACATGTTGGCTTTTAACCGCTTGTCAGAAAACAAAATCAGCTTGTATGATAGATATCTAACCTTGTGTGCTTGTAATTTGTCTCGATGCGCCGATAAAATGATGCTGCTCATAGCTCTATTTTACAAGTTAGCAGCGTTGACGAAACGTAGCACTGGTGAATGATATGCGATCCATGATCCTTTTAATAGAATATTATTGTGGTCATCACATTCAATCCAAGCTGCAACAGAAACTTTAATCTTAAAAGTCCACGTAACCAAAAGACTGGAGGTATATTGTCTGTTCAAACCAGAAACGAAGCCGAGAGCATCTATCGTAACTAGATTTTTATCTCTGTGACTTCAACAGTACCTGCATATAGAATCAATAGATGCACTTACAAGGCCACTGGATAAAGCTAATTTTACTGACAAACGATGTGGTATGCTACCCCTTTTTGCCGTGTGATAGGTTAATCAAACAAATCATTTGTGCATTTTTTTAGATAACAACAGGAAAAAAAAAAAAAAGCTATTGTTGTGTTGACTTCAAACAATATACTCAAGCTACATGATTAGTCGAATTTTATTGGCATATGTAACTGTCACTTCAGTAATGTTTTATATAGCCAAAATCCATATTTTAGAAATAAAAGACCGTATCATAAATAAGACTGCGGTGCGTACTATAAATTAATGGTTTATTGCAAAAGGTGATACAGATAAAAATATTTGCGAGATGTGATACAATTGTGTATTAAACACTAAAAATACGAGACCTGGTAAAATTACCGAGTGTAGCCATTTTTGGTTCGCCATTACATTGAAAAAGTGTGCCATGGAGATGGAGGAGCTCAAGCAGAAGAGATGGACTAACGGCAAGGAGGCTGTTCGAGCAATCAAAGATGTCGCAGTAGCACCAGAGAAGCGTGCAATCGTCAGCAACAGAGAGGGGACGTTTCGTTTATTACAGTGTGACAGTGCAACTATTGCTTGTGTGTGGCACATTCGTCGAGCACGATTTCGATCCAAGAATCGCCCAGGAGACTGGAATGGACGGGAGGCAACCTCGATTACCAAAACTGTGTTAGTGTGGCTAAGCCATCACAAATCCAGTTAGTCAACAACCCTGTGGTCCATGGTGCACTTGCAGCTAACCCAGCTACATCAATTAACGCTCTCGTCGCACAGCTTCGACACCAAAAGAAGGTAACAGCGTCACAGCACGTGATGTATCGCGCCAAGGACTGTGTGATGGCAGAGCTTCACGATGGAGAGCCGCTGAAAATTCGCCTCTTGCCCAGTCTGTTGGCGGAATTTCAGCGTCTGAATGCTGGAGTGTTGACGGAGGTTCAGTGTGACGAACGCGGGCGATTCAGACGTGCGGTTCTTTTGCACAGTCACTCATGGTTGCCTCCCTCAGATTACCTCCCGTCACATGCCAGTCTCCTGGGCGATTCTTGAATCGAAATCGTGCTAGACGAACGTGCCACTCACAACTAATAGTTACACTGTCACACTGTAATAAACGAAACGTCCCCCCTCTTTGATGACGATTGCACAGTTCCCTTGTGCTAGTGCGACATCTTTGATTGCTCGCACAGCCCCCTTGCCGTTATTCCATCTCTTCTGCTTGAGTTCCCCCATCTCCATGACACACGCCTTCAATGTAACGGTGAACCAAGAATGGCTACACTCGGTAATTTTATCAGGTCTCGTATTTTTAGTGTTTTAAACACAATTGTATCACATCTCTACTTGTATCACCTTTTGCAATAAAATTAATCATAAAACCCGATGCAATCCATATAACAAAACACATTAGTAGCGGCGTTACCAAGTTGCAGACACATTTGCATCATCAAGGGCAGTACCCTAATGCACCTTGCACAACTCTCACAACATGCGTTCAGCAAAGAGGATGGGTTCCCGGGACACCAAAAACTATTTAGTACTTGGTGCTTACACTTGCTCTATATAAAGAGTGTTATTTTTAAAATTTGAGCCAGCATATCTGTTTACTACACTTATGAAGCGCAACCACAAGCTCTCCAATGCACTTTTGTCGACCGAGACAGCGTGGTACTGCGCAGCCGAGTTCCATAAACAGGTCGAAGGAAAAGAACGAAGCAGGTCATTATCGCAATTAAGTAGCGACGAGACTCTTTTGCAAGATCAGCATTCGAAATGGAGTGATATTTCACACATGCCACGAAATTTTCTATCTCAAGGGCATGAGCTGGCAACTAAAGCAGAAATAAGAAGTAACAATAATGAGACGAAAGGCCGAATTTATTCAATGGAAAATCTTCGTTTGGCCATGTTAATGAAGGATACAAAGCTGCAGGAACGGGCTAAAAAGTATGAAGCGCTCATGCTCTATACTGTATGTGTAGCTTACGATTTTATGATTGAGATCAGGAAAAAAGCTCGACCGCGAATCGTTCAAGACATGCTGGCACTGGAACGACGCTACGCTGAGGTGCATGGGTTGCAGTTGTGTTTTTACGAAAGGGTCCTACCCTTTCTGACTTCAATTTGTGATAATTTATAACCGAATAGACAGCATGCAAGGTGCAGAAATGGTGGCGAGCACATTTGCATCAGAAGCTTTGGAGACTATATATGAGACAATGTGAATCGGCAGTATTGATCCAATGCCTAGCACGTGGTTTCTTAACTAGGCGATGGGCTCATATTTGGCACGCAAACCGAGAGATGCGTATCACGAAGGTGCAGGCGTTATTCCGTGGCCATTTCGTTCGAAATAGCTTTATGCCTAATCGGAAGCGCTGGGAGCGTTTCAACGCTTCTAAGATTCAGTCTGCGGTCCGGAAGTATCTTGCACATCGCTTATTTCGACAATGTCAGCGGGAGACTGCAGCTCTACATATTCAGTCTTGCTGGCGAAGTATTATATCGAGACGAAAATCAGATATTTGCTGGCTGGATGATAAAAGTATTGTAGTACAGCGATGTCTTCGTGGAACACTCGCTCGACGATTGTGTCGACAGAGGGTGATACGGGATAACAAAGCTATCATTGTGATACAGCGAATATGTCGTGGAATTAGAGCCCGAAATCACATCCTCACAATCCTGCGTCATAGGGAAGTTAGCAACAGGCAAGTGTATATCGCAGTTTTGAAGGCTGAAGAAGAATGGCATCGTGCGCAACGTGATAAACTCCAGGTGAGACTTAGCCGTAATCGGCTGAAAGAACGGTAAGCTGCACTGACTGCAACCCGCTTATGACACCTGAGGCTAATGTTGCACATTGCAATAGCGTTGCACAATTAGAATTTGACTATTCCATCAAGCATGAACACATCCATGATGTACGTGCTGTTTCGTGTACACCACACTACTACCCATTAATACATCTTTTTTAAGATGGAACGTCTTTACCTTGATATGCAAACGCAACGCATGCGAATGTCCCCTCGAGCTATCGAGCACGGGTGGGTTGAAGAATTAGAGGCAAAATTGAAACAACAGCGAGCGCTCATCACCGAGCTTAAACACGAGAACATATTCGAGCTCGGTTTGGAGTTGAAGTTTAAAGAAAAAGAGCTTACCGATATGCTGCGACAAATTACCTTAATTGAAGAAAAACGACAACAGGTAGCTAGTTGATGTTCACTGCAGGCTTGAACGACTAAATTTGATGTTGTGAATGCCAACATGCATGTAGTTTGAAACTTGGCAAAACGAAGAGTATGCCGATTGCTGTGAGGTATGTGCATTATGACATTAAGTTGGCAAACTTAAGAGTTCACAAACTTGTCTCGGCAGTATGAGTCTAGAATTTTCTTTGAGGAAAAAATTCAACAAAGACGTCAGCGGGTTGCCGAAATTCGACGCCAATGGCAGTATCAATTCTATCCAACTAATGGCAAACGCGACAGTCGTTGGCGTGGAAGTTGCAGGTCTCTAGGTGTGATCGACGCTGCTAGAGAGAAGAATTTCACTTGTAGTGGGTTTACAGACGTCTCCGCGCAAGTGCAAGGCGAATGGCTTCGTCCGCAAGTAGTACCGTCAAATAAACAAATTTTCATCAGCAGAGTAGGTACAAACGATATTATTGGCCATCTAGCAGACCAAGTTGCGCTCACTGTTGCAACGGCTCAGATAGAGCAGATACAGGTGCTGTTTGATCCCGTCTCAAGCGATGTTGAAAGAACATCTGATAAAATTCGGACGCTGTGACAAACGCACAATAGTCTCAGGCTTGCCTTAAGCCAAAAAATGAATGATTCAGAAACATATCGACAATGCAATCTGATCGAACAACATTTTACCAGGCTTAATTTTAAGGCGCTTGACAGACAAAGTCAACGAAAATGGCTCGTAAAATCTCAATAGGCAGAGTGAAATCTTTTAAACTATAAGCTAATGCTCGAAGTCAAAGAAAAATCTGACGAGTAAATATTTCGCGTAACAACTGTTACCGCCGGTGACATATTTTTGCATGGAGCATCTCTATTCCTTCACTCGTGTCATAATCTAGCGATGCGCTAATATAATACGTGGATCACGTCAGCTTCCCGATATCTAAGCAGCATCTAACCCATAAATTGTACCTTTACCAGGCCGGATTGTGCTGTATATTGTCAAAAAATATTTTTTTAGAAATTGGAGGCTCGAGGAGTGCCTAAATGTTGACTTTTTTAGTGCAAATCGCTTTAACAACCGAATCTAAATTTGCTCCGGCGGAAAGGGAAAGGCCCAACAGTTTTGCCTCCTGAAGCTTTTCTTAGCCATCAGGCAAAAACAACCCAAAGCGACTGGCATCTGCAAGCATGAGCAGCAATTCTTGACCAAATCTGTTCGATATCACTGAGTCCATGATTCGGTCACACTTATTTAGTAACCATCAAAATTTCGCATTGCGGTTCTTCGCCAGAGCTTTTCACCAGCACGTCCTGGCGGTATACATAGTGTAAGATTGAAATTCGCGCTTTTCAGCAAAGATTTGGTACGATTTGATCAAGGCGCTTGGCATCCGATTGGAGATGTCAGCCACTAACCATCCAAAAGTGATTTTCAGACAGAAAGTGTTAGTCGCGCGATGAGAGATTTTGGTAATTGACAAATAACACGAAGGGTCCGCGGCTTTGCCAGACACTTCAGCCGGATATATCGATTCTTAACCAGTTCACGAGGAGCCAGCCGTCTTTTTTTTAAAAACTGTAAGAAGGTGCCTCAAACAAAGGAATGTTTCAACAGTTCATACAGCAGCAAGCACACGACAATTATAGAAGCACGCAAGTAGCCAACTTGGAGCTGCTGACTGAAGTGCATCATATCATCCACCTGGTAAAACTCTATTGTAAAGTATATTGAATATTGCTGTATCGTTTTGGTTTGCCGTGTTGTATACATCCAGCTGGACCTGGCTTATGAAGCCCGGCTTGCCCGTTGCAGCGGGGCTGCAAAAGCTCTTTGCGTAAAGGAAGCTAAGCTAAGGTCACCGACCTGACGTTCTTTCAAAGAACCAATTCAGGTGTAGCGGATCGCAATCCGCTACTTCTAAGTACTAAAGCTTTACCAGGCCAAACGAACATTTCTATTCAAAAACGAAACTGTCTTTTATTGGTTTAGTTGCGGTATAGCCGCCAACATCTAAAACCCTAGCTTTTCCTGATTAATCTAGTAATACCTAATATATATATATATTTAATATAGTAATATCCATTACTACTGGCAATCCTGCCACATAGAGGCTTCTTGTTACGGTGTAGCCACACCACTGTGTGATTACACTCACTGTGAAATACACACCTATGTACGGTCGCACAAGATTGTGCGACCCGCCCTTTCTCACAAGGGTACGTGCTACCCTGTTACACTCTCCCCCATTAAAATTGTGAATATTCCCAATTCATATTTAACAGTCGCCTCATACGAGGCTCATGTCTAAGGCACCTTCACGTTCTTGAAACAAATTTAAACATTCCCCGCTCTATAAGCCCAGTTTGTACGACACGCAAAATACCCAGCCTAGCTGATTCCGAGGGCACTTCCTTCTTCTTCTGCACAGGGTGCATCTCCGGTCAGTACGCCCGTGGCATCACGGGAAGCATATCTCAAGCCATCAGCAATCGAGCACAACACACCGCGCCCGCCCCGGGCGACGAATTTCCTCGTCGAGGAGTTGGAAGAGGTCGACCACGAGTCGGACACTTCTTTACCAGCATGGGATGACGAGGAAGATGAAGTGCGCCAACAGCGCGGCGTAAGCCCAGCTCAAACCGTGCGAACATCATGTCCATTCCCCGATTTCTCGGCTTCGGGCGAAGTGGTAGTATTACCACTCGCCTCGACGAAGCACAGGAGCAGCAATTGGAGACTGCTCACAGGACGGCTTTCTTGCGCTCGTATCCGCGCTCGGTCTGAGACCCTCGTGTAGAATGCAGCTTCCGCTCGGCGGATCCCGCTATTGAAGCGAAAGACGCGATCGCTCGATCGTTAGGCGTCTACTTAGTCGGGCCTCCGGCCACTACGCAAGCTGAACTTGATCGGCGGAAAGCTCTGCGAGCTCGCTTTTTGGTACCATGAGAGATTCTAATAGATCGGTACCGCGCTCGAATTCAAGCTCAAAAAGGAGGTGCTCCTGTTCTCGCAATTCGGACCATTCCTTTGGTGCTCACCCCTAGCGAAAACGCTTCTGATGACGATGAGCTATTTGAGCGATGGGGGCAGCGGCACCGGAAACTTTTTTCGCTGTCTACCTTAAAGCAAAGCCACTTGGAAGTGATTGTGCGCATTAAGCGCCATCTAATATTTGAGTTTGCTATACTCGAGGCGCAACGCCGACTCTCTTTGTATATACACCCCGCGGTATATGGAACTATCCATAACGCTCCTGCGAACTCTGTGGTTTCTCACACGGGCATGCCTACGACCACAGCAGCTCAGGACCATATCTTAATGTTTCTGGACCTCCAGCTTCCCGGGCTACTACCGAGAAGGGTGGTGCGCAAGACTACAAAAAGCGTCATGATTTTTACGATTAGAAGCGTCAACGACGTCTGGGCAGTGGCACCTCAACTTCCCACAAGTTCTTGCACTTTAGGTATACCCGCCACTTCACAAGATATTATGTTTAACACACGACGTTGACCCACGAGGCATTCCACATGATAGTGGACGCCACCATTCTCATCGAAAAGAGTCGGCGGCAGACGATGACGACTTGGTCGATCGCCGACCGGTGATTCGCGATGCTTTTCGAGCGCTGGAGGACAAAATCCGTCGTCATCGGCACTCTGCCGAGCATCTCTCCAAGGTCACCTAACGCTGCGCGGAAAACCTCGAGAGTCTGGAGCATTTTGTGCGCCGACTGCCTCATATTGAGGATTTTCGTGCTCTGTCGGAGCGGCTCTTAGCCGTTGAGCAGGCGAATACGTCACTTCATGCGACGGTGGAGCGCCTTCCGCCGTCGAAATCGGAATTTGTTGCACTCCGTGCTTAGAACCAGTTGCTGGTTCAACTTCTGGATGGCCAAGAGCCTTTTGGCGCCACCTTGGCGCCAACGCTTCCGCGTCCACTTGCGCCGGATCCCGGTGCGGCTTAAGCAAGCTCACATAAAACACCGGGTGTGTGCGCATCCATCTCGGGAGGTTCAGCGTATATTCTAGGCTCGCTTGGCCACGGCTTTAAAAGGTCCAACAAACCGTGGACGGAGCTTCGTCTTCAAGGCAGCAGAAACTACATATGTCAGAAGGTTTTTAGCGTTTAGTAAAACCAGGTCTACGACCTCAACCTTTTATGCATTTCTTCTTCCTTTTCCGTCTGCATATTCTCTTTGCATCTCTTGGCTTTCAGCCATCGCATCGCAAACGTGTTGTAAGACATTCAGTCTGGTGGACAGGAAGTCATCGACTTCTTTACGGACAGTGATGGGTTGACATCAGCTAGACTTTTGAATATTCCTCCCATACCAAGCATTGAGCGATGGGATGGTGGCGTCAGCGGGATGCGAGGATTAACAAGCCCGTTCACGTAGAACGGCGGGTAGCCGGTAGATGAATGCACTGCATTGTTCAGAGCAAATTCTACATGTGGCAGCATGGCGCTCCAGCTCTTTGAAGACTCAGCGCAGATGCTGCGAAGAACTTTTCAGCGACGCGATTCACGCGCTCAGTTTGACCATCGGTATGTGGATGGTCCGCTGTTGACATAGTCAGCTTGGTGCCCAGCACCTTGAAGATTGAAAACTAAAACATCCTAGTGCAGCGTGGGTCTCTGTCAGAGACAATTGACTCCGCGGGTCCGTGTTGCCAAAAGCCACGATCGACAAACAGCGTCGCTGTACCCATACCGTCGTTGGTGTTGGACACTGCCGCAAGATGAGCCATCTTGCTCAAACGGCCCACAAAGACCACCACACCCGTGTTGCCCGCTGACTTCTTCGGCAGGCCAAACACAAAGTCCATCCTCATGGACTGCTCACACCAGGAGGGTACCGGTAATCTGGCCAGCGGCGCCGCCGCATTCGGAATGGTTTCAACCTCTAACACGTTTCACACGTGCGCACACACGTGCTCTTCCATTAGTACAGCTTGGGCCACCAGTAGTGGCGACTCACCGAGCTGTACGTCTTCTCACGATCGGAATGACAACTGAGTAGGGTGTCGTGGTCCTAATAGAGGATACGGTATTTCGAATCCTCATCATGAGGAATCACAATTCGTGGCGTATTCGTAAAATAGGTGCTATAATACAGCAACCCGACTCCCGAGAGACTGTGGCAGTGCTACATACATACCATCACTCGCGTACGCGGCACAGATCAAATCCGTCACGGTTGTCGTCACTGAGGTAAGCTCATAATATGGTCTGCGTGACAACGCCGCAGCCAGAACATTTTGCTTTCCTGGCTTATACTTCACTTCAAAGTTATATTCTGCGAAGAAGGACAGCCACCTACCTATCCTCTGCGAGCGTTGAGGCGACTGTGTCGCAGTGCGTAATGACGCATGATCTGTATGGACTGAGTCGCAGTGCGTAATGACGCATGATCTGTATAGATCACAAACGGCTTGGAGCCGAGCAGGTGGACCCTGAGTTTGACAAGTGCATACTTCATCCCAAGTAGCTCCTTGTCATGAACTGAATAGTTCTTCTCTGTAGCTTCAAGGTGTCGAGATTCGAACGCGATCACCCGATCCCGCCCCTCGGTGTCTGCTTGCAGCAGTGCACAG